TTAGCATTTAAATCAATTGGATTAGCGATGATGATGATGATGATGATGATGATGATAAAGTGGGCTTCTGGCGGGCACTGGCGGGTATGAGTAGGGCGGCTATGACTATGGAGAACTGTTCGTCACATCCTCTTCCCTTCTAAGCACTATACGAATGCATATAAAATCACAGTAGGCTTCGATCGTCGGCTGCCACTGCCAGCACATCACTGAGAGGGCCCGCAGCTCGTTGCAGCGGGCCCCCTCAATGAAGCTGCCGCTACTCGGAGCCAGGAGATCGACACTCCGAATGGTTTTCCGAAGATTACCTGCCCGAAGAGACTCCTCGCAAACAGCTACTTGTGCCTTCAATCAGCGGCAGTAATTGCAAGCGTTGGTATGCGCAGCTTAAATTTGGGCTGCACCCAACCAGTCGGTGACAGTTGCCCTGTCCCCTGTGAAGAGGTGCTCATGCGGCTAGTGTTGCACGTCCTGTGTGGTGTTGGAACGTGTGCTGCCCCTCAGGTTAGGTGTCGCATGCTAAGGTAGTGTTGAGCGATTGCCTACTCTGGTTGTCCATTTTCTTTTACTGCATGTGGGCCTACGTGCAGCGTGGGGCAAAAATGCAACAATAGTTGCAGCAAGGTGCGTTGCAGCTCATGAGATTCCGGCTCTTCCCCGAAGCACCCCCAGGCCCTTGGACCGCCCTCCGCTCGACGCCTTGGGGGGACTGGAGGGGAGCTCAGCACCGGCCGTTTGGGGGAAGTTATTTCTTGAATATTTTGATTCTAGTGCAGTCCATGGGACTCTTTTGATTGCATGGAGGGCTCTCGTTACAACTAGAAGCGCTGCATCGTTCATGCCAACAGGTACGAGCAACGAACGCCACCCGAAGAGGAAAGCGGCATGCTGCACGGCAGTGATTAGAAGTGAGGGTGCCCTGCAAAATATGCCTAAACTAGAAGTATTCCGGTACTCCTCAGGCAGCATCATGTGCCGTTTTCAATTTAGTGCATGCAATAGGTCGCAGAGAATGTTTTCACGTGAAGTATTTCCCGTGGGCTCCATCTCTCAGGTCTTTTTCGATCTGTTCAGATCATTATTAACCCCACGCGCACTATTACACCCTGCTCATTCATGCCCGGGACGTGCAACAGTATACAAGTTACACGTAAACAGTCCGCTTGAGGTCCCTTCCATTGCCTACGAGATGCATTATTTAAAGTAACTAATTCATAAAGCCCCATTAATATTTTGCCTGGGAACAAGAGCTTGTTTAGTTCAGCTCCAGGCCTGCCGCTGGGGGCAGTGGGCCTGCGTTGAACTCCAGCGGTCTCCTGTGAGGGACGGCACGAGCCTAGATGAGAAGAGGCAAAAGCAAAGCACGCGGCTTCTACCTTGTGTTTCTTCTTTCTTACCTTTACTTGATATTAACTTTGTTTAATTTCAAGTTTTGTGTGCACCTGCAGTTTTGTTGTTCCGCTGTCTTCCCGTTCGCCGTCCACGGGTCTCGAGGACCAGCCAGAGAGTTCTGGCTATTTATTTTCTCACATTTTTAAAGAGGAAAATTTTATTTAAATTATCTTCCTGTTGCAATGGCTCCATTCTACAAGACGGCAGCAACACTTTGTCTCGTCGCCCTCTGCGGGCTCCAATCGGAGGCAGCAGACGGTACAAAATACAAATTTACGCCAGAAGATGTAACTGAAGGTAAAGACGTTTCTTTCCTTCGTTCTCATTTGCTGCGTGTATATCCCCTTCTTGCTTGCTGCCAACCCATCAACTACAGCTGGTCAGAATGCAAGCCATTTCATTGCACATTGTACACTTACTCAACTATGCGTTCTAGTGTGTTCTTTGCAGAAGCATACTTGGCGGCCAACTTGGTCCGCAATGGAAATCTCCCAGTTCATATTAGCGAAGTCTCAAAGGACGACACGCTTGTTACTTCCTTGAAGCAAAATGTAGAAGCCAAAGAAGCATCTACTGACGGAACCTGCGAGACGTTGATAGAAGGCGATATTGTATGCATGGCAATGAAGAGAGCTGGGAATTTGTGTTTTTGTTACCGCTACTCGTGCTGTAGAAGCAGGTCTAAACTTCACTGTGAAGCTCGCCGGAAACTGGATAGCCATCAATCAACTGTCTATTTGGGGCAGTCTGCATATCAGCAAATTGTCTTCTGCGTTCTCTTATTTACGAATACAGAAGGAAGGATTTCACCACATTTTCGAGTACGAGGTCGAGACAAAAGCCGCTCATGACTACCGTCAATTGCTGCAGGAAGCCCTTGACAAGGGATTGGCAGTCTTCACGTAAGGAAATGCGACATTCATCTTCACTACAGACAAATTCCCTGTGTCTTTTTGTATAGCAAGGCGACAGATATTATACCTAACATATCTACAGAGCCAACTTCACAAAGTTCTCATCGACTAATATTCAGAAATTACATCTGTTGAGTGTTGTCCGTACTATTTATCATCTTTTAGGGACAAAATATACCCTAAGGACGAACAGGCGTGGGAAAAGATCTGGGAGAAAAAAGACGGTGCCAATTTGGCATACCTTCTAGGGTCTAACAGCACTACAATTGGATGCGTCATTGGTAACTGTACCGAAGTACCGAGTGACGTTGATGAGCTGAGCGATCAACCTGAAACTAAAAAGCAAAAGGCCGTGCTTTTCTGTCTACTAAGCCCTGCAACGGCGAGTAATGCGGCCCCCTTTACGTAAGTTTTGGGCTTCGCCACAAGACTTCTAGGAGAGACTTACGAAGGGATTTAGAGACAAATATCCACCGAAGCTAGTGATGTCTTGCATGATGCTGCGGGTTCGTATGCCTTCTTTTCTTTCCTGCAGTGAGGAGTACTTCAAGGGGCTTATAGAACGAACAACACTACTAAAGGATATGACAAAAGACGACCTGAAGCCTTCTGTAGGAAATGGCACCGCAGAAGCTGCAGTCCCTACCATTCTAATTGCCGGTTTGGTTGCTATGCTGACGGCCGTCTCTGCCTAAATGGGTAAACATCCGCTAGCTAGCTAGCTAGCCACCCCGCTCCCTCGTCAGCTAGTCTACAGATCACTTCGCCAACCAAGCCAGTGTTGTTGACCTCAGTCTGTGAATCTTAACTTGCTGCGTGAACGGCCAAACAGTAACTGCCGTTCGAAGCAAGGGGCCCGACGCGGCCTGGTATATAAAGGCAGCAAAGGCACTGTCTGTGGAACGTCAGAATTTAAACTTTACAGTCTGACGCCAACACATGTCATAAGGTTATTGCTATTTTTTCTTCAGCGTGAAGCGATTATCTCAGTCTTTTGTTTCGCAGAGGTTTTTGATTACACTTCGAAATATTCTCCGCTAGGCAGGCGAATTGTCTGCACGCAGTTGGCCTCTCACGTAGCAGGCAGCGATGAGTTGTGGTGGATACTCAACCAAAATTGATATCAGAGCACTACAATTAACGGGCCTGTCGACGCTTTTTAGTTTCATTGCCCACCCACGTTCACTTGGTTTGCAGTATACACTACATAGCTGCCGCTGAGCTGCTGCTGCCGCTGCTATAACCTTCCCTATGGTCTCTTCTGTATGTGTCAAGGTTAATGATTTGCCTCGCCTATTGTTACAACATGAACGGAAGACGACTTTGAGTTGTTGCCACAGCTGTATAAGTTTCAACTATTTCAGTGTTTCCGACATCTCCCAAGGCATTGCAGACACAAAAGCGCATACCAGTTCCACGTAAACAATCCGCGTGAGGTCCCTTCCCTTGGCGGCAAAATGCATTGTTTAAATTAACTAATTCATAAAAATACATGAATATTTTGCTTAGCAGCAAGGGCTTGTTTAGTTCTGGTGCGTGTGTCCCGCTCTGGGGTCTGCGCCTCTATTGCAACTCCAGCGGTCTCCTGTGCGGGACACCACGAGCCTACATGAACAGAGGCAAAAAAAAAGCGCGCAGCTTCTACATCGTGATTCTTCTTGCTTATCTTTATTTGATATTAGTTTTGTTAATATCAAGTCTTGTTTGCACCTTCGGCTTTTTCGTTCCGCTGTCTTCCGTTCGCCGTCCACGGGTCTCCAGGACCAGCCGAAGCATTCCCGCCTATATAATTTTTTCCCTTTTAAAAGGGGAAAATTTTATTTAAATTCTCCCCTTCTTTCTGTCACAATGGCTTCCTTCTACAGGGTAGCAGCAACAGTTTGTCTCGTCGCCCTATGTGGGCTCCAATCGGCGGCAGCAGACGGTAAAAAATACAAATTTACACCAGAAGATGTAACTGAAGGTAAGTACCTTTCTTTCCTTTATTTTCACTTGTTGCCTATATTTCCCCTTCTTGCTTGCTTCCAACCCATCAACTATTCAGCTGTGGCAGACTGCAAGTCGCTTCATTGCACATTGGGTATTTACTCAACTGCGTTCCTGCGCCTTCTTTGCAGAAGCATACTTGGCGGCTAACTTGGCCCGCAATGGAAATCTCCCTGTTCACATCAGCGAAGTTTCAAAGGACGACAACCTTGTCAACTCCGTGAAGGGAAAGTTTGAAGGCAAAGAAACAGCGACAGACGCGGCGTGCGAGACATTGATAGAATCCGATCTTGTATGCACAACAGTTTGAAAAGCACGGAAATTATGGTTTAGCTACAGGCATTCGCGCTGATAAAGCATCTGCTCTAAAGCACAGTGAAGGTAGACGGAAACTCGACAGCCACTCAGCTGATTATTTGAGGCAGCCTGAATAAAAGCATGCCCTCATGTTTGTCCTATCACTTGCGGATACAGAAAGATATGTTCTATCACATCTTCGAGTACGATGCCGATGAAGAGCCTTCGCGTAACTACCGCCAGTTTCTTCAGGAATCCCTGAACAAGGGATTGGCAGTCTTCACGTAAGGAAGTGGCGTATTCTTCTTCACTAGCGCCAACAACCTTCTGCCTTCTTTGCACGGCAAGGCGATACCGATGATTACCTAACATATCTACCGGGTCAGCGTCAGTGTTTGGTCATCAGCCGAATTCTAGTTTTTTCATGTATTATGTGTTGCCCCTACTATTTATCTTTCTTTAGGGACAAAACATACCCTAAGGACGAACAAGCGTGGAAGACGATATGGGGGGACGAAGATGGTGCCAATTTGGCATACCTCCTCGGATCTAACAGCACTACAATCGGATGTGTCATTGGGAAATGTACCGAAGTAGCAGCTGACGTCAATGCGCTGAGCGACCCACCTGAAACTAAAAAGGAAAAGGCTGTGCTTTTCTGTAAACTAAGCCCTGCAACGGCAAAGAATGCTGCCCCCTTTACGTAAGTTTTGGGCTTCGCCAGACCACTTCCAAGAGGGGCTTACGGAGGGATTTACAGACAAATGTCCACCAAAGCTGGTGATGTTTTGCTTGATGTTGCGCGTTGTATGCCCCCTGTTCTTTCCTGCAGTGAGGAGTATTTCAAGGGACTTATAGAACGAACAACTTTATTAAACGATATGACAGAAGATGACCTGAAACCTTCTGTTGAAAATGACGCTGCAGCAACTGCTGTCCCCACCATTTTAATTACCGGTTTTGTTGCCATGCTGACTGCCGTCTCAGCCTAAAGGGGTAAACTTCCGCTAGCTGCCTAGCTATCCACCCCGCTTCGTCGTCAGGTAGTCTACACAACACCTTGCCAACCAAGCCATCAGTCAGTCAGTTCAAGCCTCAGTCTGTGAAGCTTAACTTGTTGTGTGAACGGCCAAACAGTAATTGCTGTTCCAAGCAAGGGGCCCGACGCGGCTTGGTGTCTAAAGGCAGCAAAGACACTGTCCGGGGAACGTCAGAGTTTAAACTTTACAGCCTGACGCAATTCCATATCATATGGCGGTTGTTGTTTTTTCTCCAACTTGCAGCAATTATCTCAGTTTTTTATTTCGCTGTGGTTTTCGTTTATATTTTGAAATATTCTTCTCCACTAGGCAGGCGAATTGCATGCACGCAGTTGGCATCTCACGTCGCAGGCAGCGATGAGTTGTGGTGGATATTCAAACACAATTGATATCAACAATACAATTAATGGGCATGCCAATGCTGTCCCCTCTCCTTCCCCACCCACATTCAGTTTCATTGCAGTATACACCACATAGCTGCCGCTGAACTGCTGCTGCTGCTGTAACCTTTCCCTTAGTCTCTTCTGTACGCGCTAAGCTCAATTGTTTGCCTCGCCCGTTCTTACAATATGAACGGAAGACGGATTTGAGTTGTTGGCCCGCCTGGGTGAACTGGTGCTGTAGAAGTATGGCGAACAGGCGTAAACATAGTTAGAGAACTGTTGCTTCTTATGGGAGATGTCAAAACAGCTCCCACCAGAACTTCCACTGACAGGATTTACCTTTAGATATTAACTTCGAGTTCTTACCGCAGGATCGCTTTGGAGGTTAGCGGTGACAGCTGGTTCTGTTATGACTTGTTTTTATTTAAAATTATCTAATATAATTAATTCGCTCGTATGTATTTCCCATATTTTGTTCACTTGCTGAAAATTATTACTACGCTCAATAATATCCTTGCAAACCACACTGTTGTACTCCCTTACCTTCTCCAATTTGAAGGGGTGGTCCAGCGTCATATCCGTAACTCCTTAGCTATGGTTAACTGTTTGATATATAATACGGCTCCCACTTCATCCTCTGTATATCCTGTTAATCCTATTATACTCAGCACACTCTGTCCTCTTATATATATATATATATATATATATATATATATATATATATATATATATATATATATATATATATA